CCAATTCACTATGCACGGCCAATTCTCAAAGGCGTCTTTGAACTAATTGTTCTCATTGACTCAATTAATTATTTGTTTGCTGATTTAATTATTTTCAGATCTGGAAAAATGGCCTCTTAAACAAGAGGCCAATGACTGTTGCCAGAAAATAAAAATTCATAAAACAGGACTTGTTTTACAGGAATGATGTACTTACCAACTCTTTCTAAAAAAACAAAAAAAAACCAAAAAAAAAAACCACATACAAATATTAATAGATAAAATCTGTCAAATTTGATTGCCAAGCCAAATATCTTAAATTTGAAGACATAATATGGTGCCACATCAATGTTTGGGTTTGAAGAATTAGAAAAAAAATCTTTATTTATGATATATACGGAAAATATTTGACTAAAGTAGGCTACTTACACATTTAGAAAATTAAAATTCTCAATTTAATGCAAATTGCGGAAATAATTATTCAAATTCACTATTTTACTCATTTATATAATCTTATTCTATTTATTCTGCTTATTCCACCAGTCTTTACAATATTATATATTGAATATATTGTGTATATAGTACTGTATATTACAGTGAAATGCAAAATTGGGTACAAGGTCTGTTCTGTTTACACTGCAAATAACCGTACAACCCATATAATCATGCAAATAAATACACTGTATAAAATTAAATAAGTTATGACAACATCTGTTTCTACATTGCTTATCCCCTCAAAACAAGTTAAGCAATTTTCAACTTTAAAAAAAATAAATTATACAAGATTTTGCTCTTTTTAAAGTCAGTTTAATGTAATAAGTTGAAATGAGTTAAACATCCAAGTTGATTGTACTTAAATATTTAAGGCAGCAACTTTTTTTTATAGTGAACTTTAAAAAGGATGCGAATATGTTTCCACATCACCTCATCTTCGAACATAAAACAGGTAAATTACCCAATTCAGCCTGCATGCATCATTTTAATAATTTTGCATATTATTTGGTCTATATTTATTGAAATATTAACATTTTTGATTACTCTTGTATAAACAGTTGGTATTGTGTTGGTTTGCCATTTTTACTCACTACAAAATACTTGAAGTATAGGCCTAAATGTGAATTCTTACACTGATACCGTTTAAAATTGGGACTTTTATCTGGAAATAATGGAACACATTCAAATATTATTGATAAAATCAGCACACAAGTTATTTAAATTCTGACACTCTTCATATTTGTCCTCTTCAGGTGCATGGAGGCTGGTATCTCGACGAAAAATGCTACCTATCTGATTGTCCCAACACTATATTTGCATTGTTTTAAGGGTCGGGTTAGGGTTTGGGGTAAGTTTGGATGCTAATAAAGCCTCAAACCACATGAATGTAATGCTAGTAGCACACACATTTTTCCTTGTCAAACAAATCGTCAGAACACCGGTCCTCTGGCATAAAACATCATCTCAATGCCAGTGTCCTGCCCTCCACTTGTACCAGACAAGTCGACACATTAAATTGTGACTAGCCCATGGCATCCATCCAACGGCTCTCAACAAAAAGCTAATATTCCCCAGCAACGCGCCAACCCCCGTCCGCTGACCGCGCCCCCGTAACGACCGGCATATGGAAAACAAATCGTCGAGGCCGGGATCAGACACCACGCGGATGTTTAAGGCCTCATGGCAGCCGCTTTTTTCCCCCACCCGACAACTCCCACTATTATTTATCATGCTGTTTTAAATGTTTTTCTCATTTGTTTCCCCTTAATATTTCATCGTCCCTTAAATATTCATTTAACTTCTTCTGCTTTTGAATTTTTTACCAGCTCCTCTTTCTCCACTCGTCTTTCCCGGGCTCAGCGATCATAAATAATTATGCATGTGCTCCTAGAAACAGACTGCATAAATCATGCACATGAAGTTTTTTTTGTCTTTTCTCATTAAGACGTGTACTTCAACTAGCCTAAACACTTCCCACTGCCCCACTTGTGGAAATTGGATGCTGTATCCCTCAATATCATCGCTTAAATTGGTTATAGCCTCTTGGTATTACACCGAAAGGCGCCTTTTAATTCCTTTTGTTACCTTTATATGCGGTCATCTTGAATGATGCTTTGTTAGCGCAACCGTTGGTGCGATTTAAACTCTTGCTAACTTGTAAACATTTAGGCAATTATCTTTTCGCGAAACCAAAGCGCCGGCTTTCTCGCCCTGAGTGGCTCTTTCATGCCAGCCGAAGCAGGGAAATATGTTTGCTTAATAGCTTCCTTGTTATGTCCTCATAAATTAAGAACTCAGTTCATCTCGTCGCGCTCCACAAGAGGAAAACATCAAACATCTCGCGCGGAACTCACGCCCCGACTCAGGAAAAAGAAAGTTTGCTTTTGAAACATTCACAACACTGGAGGAGAGAAAGGGAATCAGAGACTCACCCCAGATGTCAACGGAATCAAATCCCGTTGAACACACATCTGTTTCTCAAGCCCACTCCTGATCACACACAGGTTTCCAAATGTTTGAGGAGGGGAGAGGTTATTTGTGAGGAATGAGCATATTTGAGCTCATTTGCATACAAGCAAATCAATATTTTATCCCTCCCAATAGTTATCGTGTTTTACTCTCGCAACACCATCCTTGAGATGTTAATATTGCAGGCGCAAATATCTCAGTCCATCTGTACGGGGAAAATAAGACACTTTTATCGTCAGACAACAAACATTGATAATTAGTAGGGAGGAAAACTTTAAAACATCATCTTGTTTGCAAGCTATTTAATGTGTTAAGCAAATTTGCTTTAGTTAATGAGAAATCCACGGCTAGCCATCCCATCCTGGATCATTCTGATGGTCCAGATATGCACTTTTTGTGCACAAATTCACACATCAAAGTCAGCATCTGCTCTGTATTTGTGTATAACGCCTGCACAGAGCCTCTGCAAACATCCGGGCGAGCGGAAACAAAAAGGTACTGTAAACTTTGAATATTGTGGGATTATCTGTTACTTAATGAGGCCGTTCGATCAGACAGAGCAAATAGCAGTATGTTAATTAGTGATTATACTCAATGATCCTGAGCACACATCGCAGATATCTGTGGTACATTTATCAGTCGCCCATAGCCAGAAGCAACCAAGACATTATACAGCATCCATATCCGGATATATAAACTATGTTAATATGATGCTGCAATGAAAGTCCAATTTAAAAAAATATCTTGGGTACAATATATTTTTTTTAATGTGACTATTTTGCATTTTAGATATAAGCTCTGTAAATTTTCTTTGTTCTGTCACAAAATTAGTGAAAGCTCAGAGTCCTCTCTCATTTGCATACGCTAATTGCTCGTTCTCATCGTGCAGTATGAAGTAACCTCATTTGATAATAAGACAAGACCAATAAATCATGGACTTCATCATTAAATGAATCGCTTCCTGGGGGAATATTGATTGTTTTATCTAATTGTTTTTGTTATGTTAAAAAAAAAGTCAAATGTAAACTATTTATACACCTATGCCATTATAAGCAAGTATAAATAGATTATTACAATTATTTACATAATTATAAAAGTCTTTGTATTAATGGGGTTTGCTCATAATTGCTCATTTTCAAAATGGACATTTTCAGATGTTATAGTGAACATATTCTATATTGACATTGTCATAAAAGATTCTGACATTTCAAAATTAATTCATATATATATATATATATATACACACACACACACACACACATACATGCATACATATATATATATATATATATATATACACACACACACTTTTAAAAAAAAATATATATATATATATATGTACATTCAGGTGTTATTATTATTGTTAATATTTCAAATTTTTTAAATTAGAGTATTGCGATTTAAGCTTACAACTTTATATAATGATTGAAGCAGAGAAGAAGATTTGTTAAAGCAAGTCACCATTTAAAGCATCACCATTTAAGAGGTTTAATATTATAGCATTGCTTTCAAAATTGCAAATTTTTGCTAATGTCAACTGAAATTTCAGAACAGCTTTTATAGACTAAAAGTCAATGTTGTCATTGTCATGAGGCTCTTGAAAACTGACATATAAAAGACATCTCTACTGTAGACATGCATCACTAAAACATCAATGACTTAAATGATAATATCTTATAATCAGCTTTATTGTAGAAATCAAAACAGTAAAATAAATATTAGTTTTTGTGCAGATTTTTGGGGGCATCAAAAATGGGAAAAATTAACTTGTATATGTTTTGTTTACTAAACCTCCATGTACTAACACTGAGTATAAAAACATTAATCGAAAAAATAATGGTATTCTAACACATTGTGATTTCAATGTTGACACTGAATCACTAAACGTAGCGAGGTCCTTCTAGCAGCTAATGGTGTTCTGCCGCCATCTTCTGGCTTACGGTTGAATAGATCAATACTTGACGGCCTTTATGTTATGACATCTATTCTCAATTCGACTCATTCATTAAGTCACAATCATATATACACTGCCGGTTGCATATCGGGATTTATTAACTATTCTACGCAAAATACATTGACAGTGTCATTTGCACCACATCTCGAAATAGGCTAATTTGTTTAACGTTAGAACTCCGTTAAGGAAAATCTTGCTAAGGCTAATTTTATGGCTAGCATTCTCCTATACACACACAATTAAATGTAAGTTTTACACTTTTCGGATAATTTGACAAAGTGACTAAATAAATATTCTGTTCAAAAGTGATATTTACCTTGAATTTCTTCGGACATCACGTCTATTTCATCTCCAACTCTTCACCGACTCTGTGGTGTTGACTCCTTGGTAAACTACACTAGCTTAAAAAAAACAAAATAAAAAAAAACAATTGGGTGCCACCTTTAAATGCCAACACATTAATCTCACACCCCCCATTAATATAATAAACACCAAATAAAACATTTCCCCTTCTAGAGAAAGAAATATGTTAATTTCTGAGCTCACTCGTGACTTTTAGTATAGAAACCGGGAGACTTTTATTTTGAATGAGGCCCGGAAGTTTGGGTATTATTGTTGAGTCAGACTTCACCTTAATATACCCGACACTTCCAAAAGAAGAATGACGGCCGGTTAAAGCAACAGATGAGATGGATCCGCAGAGTTTGTCAACTACTAAATCTGCCCTTTAGACCGTTATCGACCATTTTAAGTGTTATGTGCATGTGTTTTGATATGATCGACACGCACTCTCACCGTTATATCCGTTAAACTGACAGCCGTTGCGCTTTAGGAAGGAAGCAGGAGAGGAAAAGGGACTGACTGCGCACTAAAAACACACACTCATCGGGAAGTTTACTTAAAAGGGCAAGATTGTTTTGCAACGTACTTCATAGCCACATAAACGCTCGTATTTTAAACATAATCTATTATATTTATTGATATTAATCAGAGATAACGTTATATTAGACTATGTAAAGTCCTGATTGGTTTATTATTAAGGTTTGTTTTCCGTGCAAAGGATTGTTTTTCTTGTGTTTTGCTGATCGATAATAATCGATCACATACCCCCGAAGTGATCGATCATGGCCACAGATGCAATAGCGACTGAAGAAGTCTCAAACCAGAGAGACTCGAGTGATATGAACGCTAACAAAAGTAATCCCGAATCAGACACACCCAACTGGACATCTGAGACGCAAGAAAACAGAAATATAAGTAGCCCAACATCATTATCATCATCATCATCGGTTTATTCTGGGGAAGAACTACCTGAGGACTCCATAACAGGGAATTCACTGGCGAATGGAAACAGTGGGATACGAGCAGGAGATCCACCGCAGGAAGCAGCGAGTCCAGACAATAGACAAAAACAAGGCGTGAGGACTTCAACTCCTGTGCACACACTCTCTTCACCAGCTGAACACAATGGAAGGTATTTTTAAAGTCCCTGTGAAATCATATTTGACAATCCTTCTTTTTTTATGGAATATAGCAGTGCTTATTATAAGTGGTTTATCTGTGCCATCATAATCAAAATAACATCCCCTCCCTCTTGTAATGACATCTCTTCTCTGATGATGACGTGTTTACTGGCGTGAGGGCGGGACAGCCTGTCACTCACATGAGATCGACCAATAGCAAACCACAAACATCCAATCAATTCCCTATGAACAAAATCAAGTCTCATCCTACAATTTATTCTTGTTTGAGAAGTTACATATGGATACACATCACAAAAGTGAAAAAAAAGACTATAACAATTTACGTTTCTTGACGAATTTAACATTCTCTGTGTCTCGAAACAAATGCTGTCTAGGTAGGCAGGACACTATGGCTGCGTCCGAAATCGCTTACTTCCCTACTAAATAGTAGGCGAAAAAAAGTATGTGACGAGTAGTATGTCTGAATTCACAGTACTTTTTAAAAGATAGGCAAAAAGTACCCGGATGACCTACTTCTTCCGGCGAGATTCTGAAGTGCGCATACGATGGACACTTTACTATCCCATGAGGCAACGGGAGAGGATTTGTGAATGGCAGTGAAGCTAAGCAACTGACACCGTAGGTCACGTGATAATGACAGCATGGCGAATGTAGTACGTTCAGATTACATTCATACTATATAGAACATACTTTTTTTTAGCTAATTTTACTTTATTCGTAATAAGTATCTAATCTAGAGAGTATGCGATTTTGGACGCAGCCATTGTTTTAAGACTGTCAGTGATACAGTCCATGATGAATACGGGACACTTTGGTCTCCCATGACTTTTTTTAGTCATCAAAAAACAAATTCAATGGTTTTGTTGAGAGAAGTAGTTTGATAAAATAAACATGAAATTAACATGGAAGGAAAATGAGCTAGTTAGGGATGCACGATATAGGATTTTGGCCGATATTCGATATGCCGATATTTTCAAACTAATTTTGCCCGATGCCGATACCGATACCGATATATTTGTATTTTTTTTTAAGTGCAAAAAAAGCTTATTAAAGCTTCTATTAATGTTCTCAGTCAAGAGCAGTGAGTGATTTCCTCTGTGTTTTGTTGTTTTATTAACATTAACGGGATAGTTCTCCCAAAAATTTAAATTGTCATCATTTACTCTCTCAAGTTTCTTTCTTCTGTTGAAATTATAAAAGTTATTTGGAAGAATGTGGCTAACCAAACAGTTGCTGTACTTCAGTGACTTCCATAGTATATTTAAGCACAAGAAAGAAATGAATCCAGGTTTGAAACAACATTAGATAGACAGAATTTTTATTTCTGGGTGCAGTATCTCTTTAAAGACAAGCGGCAGAATATTATTACTGTCTCTTTAAGAACTGCACGCGAGTAACGCGACGCGTCTAATATACACGCATTTGACAAGCAGATTTTCTCTGTTTGCTTTCACTTTAGACATAACCAACTTTGTTTATGTAAACCGTGTGTGTATTTGACAGTATCAGCGCAATAAGTCTCGAAAGATTAGTCCAGTATGCAGGCGCTGTGACGGCTTTAGTTCCTGTGAGCGTCGGGTGTAACGCGCTCAGAAAAGCGGATGTTAGAACAGCGCATCAGCACGTGAATGACATGTTTACCTAGCAAGACTTTGACGCACATGCAAATAATGAACTTTTGTGAATTGCGGTGTCCCGTGAGTGTAACTCTACCTCTGCGTTTACATGTGATGTGATGTGAATGTACGTCGCGTTGTACAGTATGTTGAGATGAAGGCGCCAGAATTGAACTGATAGAATGCACGATACTATGATTTTTCTTCAAAAGCAGATCGTGGAGACATTTTAATCGTCCACCGACGCACACCCCTAGTTGGAAGTTTAAGTTGCTGGCGCTCATGCTTCGTTCGCGTCACGTGCGCATAGGAAACACGCCACCCTATCGGCAAGACTCATCGGCAGAAATATTCATATCGGCCGATGCCGATGATGGTCATTTTAAGCTTTTATCGGCCGATACCGATGTTGTCCCGACATCATCGTGCATCCCTAGAGCTAGTTTATAAATGCATCAAATGTCTGAATCTTCTCTTAAATTGTGAGATTTGGCATCAAATTGGATTGAATAATCCTTACGTATTTTAATTGAATAACTAAACAATTTTACTATTAATTGAAATGCGTAAATCTGAGAAAAAAAAAGGTTGTGTAGCTACTTTCGGTTATTTGCAAACCCGTTACCAATTCTGAACTAGTTTTTATTTTATTTTGTAATTTTTTGATTATTGTTAGAACATTGCAGAAACTATTTAGACCAAATTGAATTGTGGTTAACAGGGTTGAAAACCCTATAGAAATGCAGTGATCAGCATTTTCTGAAGCAAGGTTAAAACAACTTCTTCTTTTTTTTTAGTTTCAGACTTTATTTTGCACCCTGTTCGTGGAGGACCTTTTCTTTCTGTGCTCTTATTGTCACTTAAAGAGTGGTTACTTACTTGCAAAAGGTACGCCTGCAGGTTATTTAGCTACTCCTAACAATCTCTAGGTGTGCTATACACAGTCTATTCAATCATGTCCTTTGTGCCAAGTGTGCCACTGTTATCAATTATTAATCATAGTCTAATCTGTGATCCTACTTGACAGTTTTGATTTAAAGGGATAGGCCTAGTTCACCCAGAAATAAAACAATTGGCTGGTAATTTACCCCCCCTCAGGCCATCCAAGATGTAAGTGTCTTTTCTTCTTCAGTAGAACAGTAACAAAGACTTTTAGCTGAAACTGTCATTGGTGATTCGTATAATGCGAGTCAATGGCTGCCGTCACTTTGAGAGTAAAAAAAAAAAACAGACAAGGGCAAAACAAAATTAATACCGGTGGCTCCTAAAGATACATTGAGGTCTTATGAAGCAAAACGATCGGTCTGTGCAAGAAACTGAGCATTATTTACAACATTATTACCTGTAATAAAGACTGTTGTGAACACGCTATGGACCGTTTGCAGAGGCTGTGGATTACAGGTAATAATGTTGTGAGTAAATGATGAGTAATGGTGAGTAAATGAACAGCAAATTTTCATTTTTTGGTTGTTCAGTGTCAGTGATTAGAATATAAAGTAGGGATGCACCAATATGAACATTTTGGCCGATACCGATAATTCTTTATATTTGAAAGCCGATAACCGATATATTGGCCGATAAATCTAAATCCAAATATAAATTTTGAGAGCCTGATTTCAAAAAAGTCTCACCAATAAAATCCACGTCCCAAGCACACAATTATAATGTTCTCATTCTAATTTTATGTAGCCTATATGACAGACTTGCACTGCACATGTTGCTCTGAACCGTATTTTCCTTTTTTGAAGTGATTCCAATCATATTTCAAGCAATTCGAAAACATCATGGCGAACAGTGCGCATCTGAAGTGTCTCAGCTGAAGGAAATAATCCATTATTTATCGGCTTTATTATATCAGCCAAATTTTCTTGTCGGACCGATAACAACAACATTAAAAGTGAACATGGGTATATCGGCCGATACCGATACGGTGGCCGATATATCGTGCATCCCTAATATAAAGTTACAAAATGTTAAACATAAACTAGTGCTAAGAACTAGAATCTCCTCTACCTAAATTTACGGTTAGGAGCTGCTACTGCCCTCATGTCATGAACAGAAAAGATGTTTTCGTCCATACAGTGAAAGTCAGTGGAGTCCAAAGTTGTTTTGGACCCCTTTGAAAAACATATTTTTGTGTGTTCCCTATTTATGGCGTACTCGTTTTTGCAAAGTGACACGAGAAAGCATGCGGCGTTGTGTCCCATGACAACAGTGTGAACTGTTGCAGATCTCTTCTAGGGAGGGTGGCATAAAGAGCAGCAGACATTCCCCCTGGAGGAGTATGACGGACACCACATGGATGGCATGGCAATTAGCTCCCGTCCACAGTTAACCAGTGTCCACGTCTCCCCCTCACATCTGAGCGCCAGCTTCTCTTTCAAATGACTAAACAGCTGGTGGATGAATGACTCCTTTGCTGTGCCTCATTCATTAAAGTCGGAAGACATAACAGCCTGGACTCACAAAACACACACACAAACACGCACACACACACACACACACACACACATATATACATTGTGTTTTAAACATTGGAAACTTTCTGCATTTTAACCTTTAAAAAAAAATCACTTAGTATGATGTATAAGCTGTTTTCTTCAGGGGGACCACAAGGATTTTGGATATTGCCATCTTTGTGGGGACATTTTGTCTCCATAATTTAGGGTTTGCCTGGACCACACACACACACAAATAACAGGGTAGAGTTGATGGAAAGAGATATCTTAGGTTTTTGATTGAACATGACTCAGGACGTTTGACTATGTTCACAGTAGTATACTTGTAAACTGCTGTTTTTGCAGTATGCGGTCTAAATATTGAGTAGTGCGAATATTTTCTGAATGCATGGAATATCTTGTTCATTTATACGTACGCATTCGCCAAAATATGCAGTATGCAATGAGTGCACTATATAGAATACTATATCCCACAATGCAATGCACTCAATCTTGTGTCTGTTTCCTGTGTGACAAATGATCTGGAAGCAACACAAGCAGACATTTTTAATGTTTATCCTTACCTCTTCATTGTTTAATCTGACTATTATACATTTAAAAAACGTATGGTGACACTATAATTAGGTTCTCTAAGTTAAAATTGCTATTTTATGTTAGCTATTGTGTTAACCAATGAACAACATTTTCGCAACATTTAAATGTTAAAAAATCATAAATGTTTAATATTTAAAGTTAAATATTAATGCTATTATAAACAAACATGATTTTTTTTTATTATCAAACCTAGATGTATAAATGCTTTAAAAATGTAGTTCATCATATTCATTCTTATAAATGAAAATAAACTAAAATGCAAGTATTACACAGAAAACCTGAACTTCAGGTTAGAAAAACTTAAACAAAATTGTCTTGGCAACTGAAATAAAATAAGTTGGAACGAAAGTGACAAAAGCACATAAACAAACTAAAATTTGATTGAAACTAAAAATATGAAAAAAGCTAAATGCCATAATGGTATATAAATAATACTAAAATAACACTGCTTCAAACAAACATTTGCTCCCAAACTAGCTACACCTGTTATTTGCAACCCTGTTACCAATTCTGCTATAGTTTTTATATAATTTTTTTTACTTTTTTCTGTTTAATTTAGATGCTTATTTAACTTTTTTTTCTTTTCTTTTTTTTTGCAAAATCACCCAAATAAGGGCTTTAAATTACAGTAGTCAACATTTGAAGTGGTTAAAAACCTTTCATCAAAGTTATACATGAATTTTGAACAATACCCGTTCTTGTCTTAGGATAACTGAAATTGCGTACTGCATACTTTTTTTTGCATTTTTCGCACGCTAAGCTGTACATTATTCCAAACCAGTGTTTAGTATTCTTTCATTTTGTAGTGTTTAAAAAAAAAAAGACTATATATTTTATTTTTATTAATTTATTTTAGTTTTATTATTATTTTTTTCTAGATCAAGTTAAAATGATTTAATCAAGTTAAATCTAGCTGAAATAAAATACGTTTTTGCATATTTTATTTCAATTAATGTTTATTTTATTTCAAGTAACAAAAATGTTTTTTTTTTAATGTTTTTAGTTTAAGTTTCAGCCTGAACACATCTCATGAGAATGTATTTGTTTTTCTGTGGTTTTTGCTCTTCTGTTACAGTCTAAATCATAAATCTAATCAAACATTGGATCTAGTGTTTGTTAATTAAATTTAAAAAAAAAAGATAACCCCTTGAGGAGCGTCCCGTCCTACCAGTGATCTCGCTGTGAAATGACTTTAGTTCTAGTAAGAATGGCATCTGAACCTGCTCTGTTTCCAAGAAATTAGAGCGGGTTTGTTCTTTACGTCAAAACATTGAACTTTGAACACAGTCCAAGAATTTCAGGCTTTTTCAAAGTCACCACCCAAATCTATCCCCAAAGAAGGTGAAACTCTTTCGCCCACTTCCATTTGTAAAAGAGCTTATCTCGTATGTAACAGAATTTGTTGTGTGTGAAGTCCTCAAGAGTTTACATGCCTTTGGATTTGAGATTAACGCACCAAAGAAGCCCATATGGATTTCTGTATGCCGTAAGCTGCGATACACTGCGTCTTAATGTGCAGTGGTCTTATTAGGCAGTTGCAAAGCCTTTTCAACCATTCCTCAGTAACTACATCAGTTTGAGCTCTGGGATGAATGACTATCAGCCAGTATCGGATTTTGACTTCTGGACTCTTTCAACTCGAATGTATTGGTTTTTTTAGTGAGTGAATAACAGAATATGAATTACAGTTGTTTTAAAGTCAAAACAGTTGGCTAATGGATTCATTTTTTTTCTTATCATTCTCTTCAGTTTTGAGCACCAGGAGTCAGTGGCGACCACAGAGGCTCGGCTGAGAATGGAAGGGGTTGAGCTAAAGGAGGAGTGGCAAGATGAGGATTTCCCCAGGTAGGCTTTTATGTATGTGTGTGTGTGTGTGTGTGTGTGTGTGTGTGGTAGCCGTGGGCATTTGTTTTTTCCATGTATATATTCAAGATACATTACCGTTCAAAAGTTTGGGGTCAGTAAGAGTTTTGACAGAAAGTATTACTTTTATTCAGCAACAGTATAAAGACTAAAGACTTACACATTGATACAAATGTCCTGAAAACCTGTAAATTAGTTTCCACAAAAATATTAAGCAGCAATAAAAATAAAACAATAAAAATATTAACTGTTTTCAACATTGATAATAATATTAAGAAATGTTTTTTGAGCACAAAATCAGCATATTAGAATGATTTCTTAAGGATCATGTGACATTTAAGCCTGGAGTAAAAATGCTGAAAATTCAGCTTTGCCATCACAGGAATAAATTACATTTTAAAATATATTCAAATAGTTATTAAAAATGTTAAATGCAGTCTTGAGTTTTGCATACGATTTTTTTTAAGCATAAAAAAAGTCTTGTGGTAATTAATCTAGCTTGTGCTGGAAATTCAACCCAAAAATTATTATAATGCATAACAACCAGACTATTATTATTATGTAGTTATAATATATTATATTCATCATATATTATAAATAAAATTATTATTAAAAATAAAAAACATTATAATTATTGCAGATTATACAATTTACAAATGAAAGATACTTCATCTAAATTGATTTCCTTTTTTTTATTTGAACTGCACTCTAAATAAATGTCTTTTTTTAATGATGTTTAATTCATAGCTGGAAAAAAAGATCATTTGTTTTATTTGGATGCAAACTACAATATTAAGATTATTCATAACAAATTAATAAGTCTGGCATTACAGCAAAAATAAAGACTCAAAACAGTTATACCTTGTAAATCTAATAGGATGAGCCAGATTCAAAGTAGTTGTAAAATAGCTAACTTATGTATGTAATGTGACCAAATATAAATGCAAAAATAAAAAAATTCAACTAGCCATTATTTTCTGCTTAAAGGCCCCCTGAAATCAAAATTTAAGTTTTTTAGCTCTTAGTATGAATATGTTAGCCTTAAAGGGTTAGTTCACCCAAAAATGAAAATTCTGTCAGTATTTACTCACCCTCATGTTGTTCCAACCCCGTAAGACCTTCGTTCATCTTCTGAACACGAATTAAGATATTTTTGATGAAATCTTGAGAGCTGGATCACTCCTCCATACTAGTCCATAGGCTTCTTCAGGGATTGAACTTGCCGGCCTCGAAAAGTTATTAAAGACATTGTTAAAATAGTCCAAGTGACTACAGTGGCTCAATCTTAAGTTTATCAAGCGACGAGAATACTTTTTGTGCGCAAAACAAACAAAAATAACGACTTTATTTCAACTATTCATTTCCTTCTCTTTGGGCCTCTAGTCAGTTAACGTAGTGTGATTCCGTAGAGCTACGTCACACGTAGGCTCACTATTGGCCGACGCTGGTCATGTGCGTGATGCGTGTGACATACAACAACAGAAGCTTACGCTATTACACTAGTGAACTGACTCGAGGCCCCATTTGTTTTTAACACGTTGAACAGAAAATAATTCATTGTCAATTTGGACAGCCCTAATATATACACAGTCATACTGCCCAAGCCTAGAGTATCATCTAAATTATATTACAATAAATTTGAGTTGTGTTTTTTAAATTTGGTTTTCCAGGCCACTCCCAGAGGAGGAAGATATTCAGCTTGATGAGGAGCTTTTCACTGGGTCTTCTGGTGAAGGAGCACCTGGTAAGCCATAATGATATACTCCCAATATACACTCACCGGCCACTTTATTAGGTACCCCATGCTAGTAACGGGTTGGACCCCCTTTTGCCTTCAGAACTGCCTCAATTCTTCGTGGCATAGATTCAACAAGGTGCTGGAAGCATTCCTCAGGGAGTTTGGTCCATATTGACATGATGGCATCACACAGTTGCCGCAGATTTGTCGGCTGCACATCCATGATGCGAATCTCCCGTTCCACCACATCCCAAAGATGCTCTATTGGGTTGAGATCTGGTGACTGTGGAGGCCATTTTAGTACAGTGAACTCATTGTCATGTTCAAGAAACCAATTTGAAATGATTAGAGCTTTGTGACATGGTGGAAGTAGCCATCAGAGGATGGGTACATGGTGGCCATAAAGGGATGGACATGGTCAGAAACAATGCTCAGGTAGGCCGTGGCATTTAAACGATGCCCAATTGGCACTAAGGGGCCTAAAGTGTGCCAGGAAAACATCCCCCACACCATTACACCACCACCACCAGCCTGCACAGTGGTAACAAGGCATGATGGTTCCATGTTCTCATTCTGTTTACGCCAAATTCTGACTCTAACATCTGAATGTCTCAACAGAAATCGAGACTCATCAGACCAGGCAACATTTTTCCAGTCTTCAACTGTTCAATTTTGGTGAGCTCTTGCAAATTGTAGCCTCTTTTTCCTATTTGTAGTGGAGATGAGTGGTACCCGGTGGAGTCTTCTGCTGTTGTAGCCCATCCGCCTCAAGGTTGTGCGTGTTGTGGCTTCACAAATGCTTTGCTGCATACCTCGGTTGTAACGAGTGGTTATTTCAGTCACTGTTGCCCTTCTATCAGCTCGAACCAGTCTGGCCATTCTCCTCTGACCTCTGGCATCAACAAGGCATTTCCGCCCACAGAACTGCCGCTCACTGGATATTTTTTCTTTTTCGGACCATTCTCTGTAAACCCTAGAGATGGTTGTGCGTGAAAATCCCAGTAGATTAGCAGTTTCTGAAATACTCAGACCAGCCCTTCTGGCACCAACAATCATGCCACGTTCAAAGTCACTCAAATCAACTTTCTTCCCCATACTGATGCTCGGTTTGAACTGCAGGAGATTGTCTTGACCATGTCTACATGCCTAAATGCACTGAGTTGCCGCCATGTGATTGGCTGCTTAGAAATTAAGTGTTAACGAGCAGTTGGACAGGTGTACCTAATAAAGTGGCCGGTGAGTGTATGTAATATGTAGAGACAATTATTCATTTGTTACTATGGTCAGGAAACATTGTGAAAGCTTTTGTTCTTTTGACTAAAATTGCAGCTCCACAGTCTTACGGACTAAACAGTGCAAAGAAATCTAAAAAGAAACTTTTGGCTCCGGACATCAGCCTAAACCTAGACCACAGTGAAGGCTCGGTCCTGTCTGATGAGCTGGATGAGAGTACAGAACTGGACCTGGATGATATAGACACTCCTTCAGACAACAGCAACGAGTTTGAGTGGGAAGGTATGATGGTGGTTAAACCTGTAAATGTTAACAGTCTAACATAAGGGGTCATGAACTGAGAATTCAAATTTTCATTCATCTTATGACAGTTAAGAGTTCTTTATACTCAGTGCTTTAAGTGGGCCGGTACGCACCGGTACTCAGTACCGCCACTTCCAAATATAGCTCTTGAGCGTACCGCCACTTCTCCGTGCGCCCAGAACGTGCTTTTAGCGTACCGGTACGCTCATTTGCACATCTGTTTTAATCCTTTGGCTGCGCTGCCGCTTTTCAGAGCTCCCTTCACAATGCACGCCTCCTAATTCGTCCCACCGAGAGCAGAGACTACATTACCCATACACCCTTGAGTTTTACAAGTGAAAAGCGCATGCGTTGCTTTTGCCGCTGTCAGTGTTAGCCATAGATATCCATAATAAAGGCCTTTATTATGGATATATATAGGTGTTAGCTGCTCGGTCTGGTTAAACCCCGCGAAGGTCCGTGTAAGATCGTGTAATGACGTAGGGCTAGCTCATTGGTCGCACGTCAGAGGCGCCCGCGCCATTGGATGTGCAGTTGCCGCAGTACAGCCTATGAGCAAGCCAGATGCTCAATGTGTTTTACATATAAGCTTCATTAAATCAGAATCAGAAAAGGAGTTTCCTGCACATTCACTATATAAAATTCACTGGAGGAAAAAGTTCGCGTGGCCGTCGTCAGATTTGGAAGTCGCTCAAAAGGCTCTTTCGCGGTTGTGGCTTCAGTCGACTTCAGTGAGGCGCGGTGGTTTAGGGGATCTGTAGTTCCTTCGCTCGGAAATGAAAATATGTACACTCTTGTACCTTTGATTTTATTTGGATTTTCTCTTCGTTTTTTCACTCGAAATTATGTTGTATGCTTATGAGTTCAGCCGTAGCTGATTATCCTCAGACATGCTCTAAAACTCTTTAGATACGGTTTTTCCAAAACGTCAAAGGGAGAAATGAATGGGAAATTTACTTCCGGCACCGAAGCTCTCTCGGGCTGTGGGCGGGACTGTGATGCTCCCCAGACAATAACATTTAATTTTGTAACAGAATAAAAAAATTTTTTTTTTTTTTTTTTTTTTTTTTACAATTTTGTAACAGAATAAAAATTTTTTTTTTTTTTTTTTTTTTTTTTTTTACAAATGTAATTTTACTCTGTTTATTAATGTTTTTACTCAACATTTGTGCAGTTTTTGGAGGATTTATGATATCTTTTAAATTTCTATAAATAAATAAATATTTATTTAAATAGGCTTTTTACAAAAAAAAAACAGCATTTTATGTCAAATTCACTTTATAAAAGACCCAGATTTCTAACTTTCATTCATGGAGATAACATGGATAATTTTACATGGTTTAATGTAAGATTTTTGGCCATTATTTTGAAAATGCAGTTTTAAAATAAAATAAAAATCACTTTAACCACTAGATGGCTATAGAGCTTCACTAAATGCTATTTGACTAATCAAAATATATCTTTTCACACGTTTTTCCAGTTGGATTCATATCCACATTTTGTAAATTTTATTTATGTTCAGTAGCTCTTTCTACTGTACCTCTTTCTAAGGGTATTTTTTCAATACCAATTTGCACATTTTATTTATGTTCAGTAGCTCTTTCTAGATAAAGCAAATCCACAAACTAAAAAAAAGGATTTATTATTTTTTATAAGGTCGTCTGTTGACTGCTGTTTATATAAAACCCCTTCAATATAGTTGTTGTTACCTCAGGGGAGGAGGGGAGTCAGCAAAAAATAAATAAATAATAATAGAGTACCGCCACCTCTTTTGGTCCACTTAAAGCACTGTTTATACTATAAAAATAACCCTGTAAGTTTCAAAACTCAAAACTTAGTGACATGAGAACAAGAAAAGATCGTCACATGATCAATACCATTACCTTCCAAAGGATCCTAATGCTAGGATAGTGGGGTTTTTTCCCAACAATGTGAATATCTCAGCAGTGCATTATTTGTTTGTATTCGGTACATTTCACTGTGAATTATTAGGTAAATTTCGGCGCAGGCTTTGCAAACAGACTTTTACGATATGGATCTGCCAGCAATGCCACAAACATGTAAGTAATCATGTTTATTCTAATGGCTGATCTGTGATCAGTGATTTCTGACGTATAATTATTCAAGTTCAGACAGATTATCTCTCAAAATCGTTCAAAACTGTTTATGCATCAGTAAATCAAGTGACTAAACGATCAACTTCACGTCGTTTCTTAATAATCTTATTAAATCTGTGATCAAACAGAAAGCGATCAAAGAACGCTCCCTTTCCAATCGCCCAAGCTGTCAATCACACAGCGCGAGTTTATCTGGACACTTGCCAAAACTCCCGTTATGTAATCAATGACGCTGTTGTTACACTGCACAACGAAGCTCTTACTGTATTTACATCGTGTTTGCATTGTTATTTGGTGAAAGCATTCGTGAGAGTGCAGAAATTGTGTTGCAATGATAAGATCTCTTCATTCACGCGATCAACGTGAACGTCTGTCATCTGTTCAATGCTCATCACTGCAACCTTTCATGTGATGGGAATACATCTAACTTTGCACGATTCGTTAATCTCGATAGCTGTAATAGTAAAAACGTAGTAAAAGATTTCGAGAGAGTTTCACTTGTAATACTAGCTATTTCATATGCAAAGATGTCAGCCAATCACAGCAGTGGGCGTTTACACTGAAGTCTCACACAGACACGCCCCTTCAAACAGAGCGTTCAAATCAGAGGGCTTAAATCAGGCTTGGAAAACTGCCTTTTGGTTGTAAATTGTGACAATTTTTGATGTAAAAATCATACTAACATTATAAGGGCAACCCAGGAAACATTATAAAATAATAAAATAATCCAGTTCATGACCCCTTTAACATAATCCCTAACAGCGACTAATCTAATTAATTGGTCATTTTGCAGCCATTCAAGCTCATGTAGATCCTGTAGAAATGTTCCTTACTAACAGTACAGAGATCTTTTCATGGACTGGCTTTTGTGCAATAACTCTTAGTTAAACAGTGTTATGTGTTCTTGTTTTGTTTTTCTGTCCCGCTGCTCTCTTCTCTCTTTCCTGGAAGGATTGTTTCTTCTCATTCGTTTGCGACAGGCCGCAGGCCTGCGGTTTGTGGTAAGGTTACCTGACTGGATGTTTACTCCCCGATCAAGTCCTACAGCATTGATTTATTTTTCTTTATGAGATATCACCCTTTTAGTATGGTGTGGAATGACACTACAAATCAGAGGTTATCCATTGTTTTTGTTTGAAAATTTTGATGGTTGGATTTTGATTTGTGCATGGTTTTCCCCTCCAATCTCATCAAATCTGATTTTGTTAATCAGCCTCATTTTGGTGTCCTGATCATTTTTGTTAAATCACCGCAGCTTTCCCTCCTGAAAAAAGAAGTACATTTAGCATACTTTTAAAAAGTGTACTTATTTCGAAAATGAGTAAAGTTTTTAAAGAATATACTTTAGTGCAAACTGAATGTAATGTTTTTAGACACTTAATTGCATGTTATTTACAATTGAATTCAAATGTATTCTAATAAATTTGTATTAAATGCAATTTTCGACACTTAGATAAAGTGTTCACACACTACAGTTAAAATTATAATCAGGTTATTTACACATGGTTTAGTGTGTAAAAAAAAAAAAAAAATGGGAAAAAAAGATTATTGCAACATCATGATTTCAAATGTACTTTAAAGTAAAACTTTTAATTAGTAATTATTACAAAGTGTACTTAAGTGTTTGAAGACACTGTTATGAAAGTGTACTCTTTAGGTACACTTTAGCAGCCATTTAGTTCATTAATATTATATTATCTGCAGGTACAATTTGACATGTGTATATACTGTATATATTACTATTAAGATTTGAAGTCTGCTACTAGTGCATATTAAATACAGTTAAATGTAAAGTAGGCAACTTCGGAGCGGCTAGCAATAGCAAGCTAGCTTTGAAAGCATTAGATCCCACCCTACCTTCAGAGCATCTCCAAAGCCACGCCTCCTTCGAAACACAAGAACGCACACAGCAAAGTCTGCAAAGCGCCATTTACATTTATTTTTACATTTATTTATTTTGCAGACGCTTTTATCCAAAGCGACTTACAAATGAGAACAATAGAAGCAGTTAAACTAACAGTAGGACAACAATATGCAAGTGCTATGACCCCTCTCAGTTTCATCTAACGCAGTCCATAATTTTATTTATTTTTTTAAATAGAATAGAAGAGATTAAGTGCTGCCGAAAAAGATGCGTCATCAGCTGTTTCTTGAAAGTGGCTACTGACTCCGTGGCTCTGGTTGAGTTGGGCAGATCATTCCACCAGCAGGGAAGCATGAGAGATGGCATTAAATTACCTCATGTCTCAAAGCACATGATAATAATGAACGTAAACAACTTACAGAGCTCTAGTTGTACCACCTGACTGCTGCAGATTCATTTCAGCGTTGATAGACTTGGATGTATGCATTTCCATGTCAAGACTAAGGACGTGAACCGCTCCGAGTGGAACTTCACGGGTTGACCTCTCGTAATTACGGTTACAACATGGCGTGAACGCAGCATAAGCTCGTTGTTTTGGTTCAGGGGGAACTGTAAAAGGTGGCTGTTGTTTGTGGTGCTCGGTGACTGACATCTGTCTACAACTCTACATAGCCTCATTGAACACGCTGTGATGTCTGCGTGAGCAGGTGTGCGGAGGTATGGAAATACATATGTTGACAGGCAGGTAGGACATCGGTCAGACCGAATGCAATGATTGGACGAAAAAATGTTTGGTCCTGAGACTTCCACAGATGATATACACTCACCTAAAGGATTATTAGGAACACCTGTTCAATTTCTCATTAATGCAATTATCTAATCAACCAATCACATGGCAGTTGCTTCAATGCATTTAGGGCTGTGGTCCTGGTTAAGACAATTTCCTGAACTCCAAACTGAATGTCAGAATGGGAAAGAAAGGGGATTTAAGCAATTTTGAGCGTGGCATGGTTGTTGGTGCCAGGCGGGCCGGTCTGAGTATTTCACAATCTGCTCAGTTACTGGGATTTTCACGCACAACCATTTCTAGGGTTTACAAAGAATGGTGTGAAAAGGGAAAAACATCCAGTATGCAGCAGTCCTGTGGGCGAAAATGCCTTGTTGATGCTAGGTCAGAGGAGAATGGGCCGACTGATTCAAGCTGATAGAAGAGCAACTTTGACTGAAATAACCACTCGTTACAACCGAGCTATGCAGCAAAGCATTTGTGAAGCCACAACACGCACAACCTTGAGGCGGATGGGCTACAACAGCAGAAGACCCCACCGGCTACCACTCATCTCCACTACAAATAGGAAAAAAGAGGCTACAATTTGCAAGAGCTTACCAAAATTGGACAGTTGAAGACTGGAGAAATGTTGCCTGGTCTGATGAGTCTCGATTTCTGTTGAGACATTCAGATGGTAGAGTCAGAATTTGGCGTAAACAGAATGAGAACATGGATCCATCATGCCTTGTTACCACTGTGCAGGCTGGTGGTGGTGGTGTAATTGTGTGGGGGATGTTTTCTTGGCACACTTTAGGCCCCTTAGTGCCAATTGGGCATCATTTAAATGCCACGGCCTACCTGAGCATTGTTTCTGACCATGTCCATCCTTTTATGGCCACCATGTACCCATCCTCTGATGGCTACTTCCAGCAGGATAATGCACCATGTCACAAAGCTCGAATCATTTCAAATTGGTTTCTTGAACATGACAATGAGTTCACTGTACTAAAATGGCCCCCACAGTCACCAGATCTCAACCCAATAGAGCATCTTTGGGATGTGGTGGAACGGGAGCTTCGTGCCCTGGATGTGCATCCCACAAATCTCCATCAACTGCAAGATGCTATCCTATCAATATGCGCCAACATTTCTAAAGAATGCTTTCAGCACCTTGTTGAATCAATGCCACGTAGAATTAAGGCAGTTCTGAAGGCGAAAGGGGGTCAAACACAGTATTAGTATGGTGTTCCTAATAATCCTTTAGGTGAGTGTATGTACATGTTTTGATATTTAGACCACTTCTATTATTGATTACTATCAGGATGTGAGGAGTTTCAACCAGTATAACAAAAAGTGTTCATAAAAAATGTACCTACCCTACCTTTAAGCGCACTTCTTTTTCTCATTAGCTCGGTTCCGAACCCTTGCTAGCTGCCTCGCTGTCTACATAGGCAGCTCCCTTCTAAGACAGTGTGCCAATCGAAATTGAAGTGACTGATTTGAAAAGCTCAAATAAGTTATGCTTACAGTTGATTCCTGTAGTCTTATATTAGCTTGTTGGCGACTTAATTAGATTTTAACTCACAATCGCGAGTTATAAAGTCTGAATTGCGAGGTATAAAAAAAGTGAGAGATAAAAATTGAGAGATAAAAAGAGGTAAGTTTTACTTGTTTTTTTTATTTTTATTTGAACTGTAAGTCGGTAGAGCATCATTCCCAATCACATAAATGCACACATACAGTCACTGAACTGAACCCTGAAAGAAAACAGCCCACATACAAGTATTAAATAGATAACACCTCATTATTTCCCTTGTCAGATGATCTCCCAAAACCCAAAAACACAGACCTGCTGCGTAAAGGAGTGGAGTCGGTGCAGGAGTACACCAACACAGAGGAACGGGAGGAGGGACGTCGCTGGAGAGTTTTCCGCTTTGGAGAGCAGGAGCACAGAGTGGACATGAAGGCCATTGAGCCCTACAAGAGGGTTATCAGCCATGGAGGTCAGTGACCACACATTTCCATGCCAGTGTGTCCTGTGCGTTATTCATACAAGCATGTTTGTACCATTCAGGAAGTGAATTCCATGAAATTCAAAACTGTCAGTATGAGAAACCGAATACATTCAGAGCAGTTTCATGGCATTTAGCTGCATTCTCACTTTTCCTGATTACCTTTTCAGCCAGAAGTGCCTGTTACCGTCTGTCACTCCTCTTTTTCCACTTCCTCCTTTTTGCAAACCACCAGCTGTTGCTTTCATTCTAAATGCCTCTTTTGCATTCTGTTATTTAACGAACAATTACACAGACTCTACATTGTGCTGTTGATTTAGATAGATTGGATTGGTCAAGTTGTTTAATAGCTGTAAAAGTGCAAACTAGCGTTCAAACGTTTGCCAGTGGCCGCTTTCAAACATGGTTCCCCTTTTTCACAGGTTACTATGGTGATGGATTGAATGCCATCATCGTGTTTGCTGTTTGCTTTATGCCTGAGAGCAATCAACCAAACTACAGATACATCATGGACAATCTTTTCAAGTAAGTTCTTGATGTTGTTTCTAGTGGTTCCATTTGACTTATTCTTGTCAAGAACCCTTTAAAATAGTACTCCAGTAGTCTCTGCAACATAATGATGAAATTAAGGCAAATATGTGTTGCCATTAATTGTAATTAGAGGACTGTAAAACAATTTTTTCTTCGGAAATGCAACCCAGTCACTTCGTAAACAGATTTATTCCCCTTTGGACTGATAAGAACCTGTATAGTACAGTGTTAATCTCATCTGAAAAAAAATAAAATCATGAATAATTTATCAACTACAATCAATGTTATTTCCATTGATTAGAATATGATTGACTAAATGCAATAAATATGACATGGATGTAGAAATCAGCCAATCAGATTGGATCTTATGATTTTTAATAAGTCCTGCCATTTTCATATGCATCTGCAAAGAAAATATTGCAATTCTTGGGTTATGGTCACAAATTCATACTTTTTGCAATTAAATACAGCCTTTTCCTTTCGCAGTATTGCCTTTTTTCCCCCAACAATATGCATCATGATTTTATCTCCATACTTGTGCCACCTGAGGCTCTTTTTTTGTTTTGGAGACCAATGACCAGCCTTTCTTTTGAACTAATTAACATGTCTAGGCGTATTTGAAGGTGCAGTCACATTTACCATTGTTTGGCGAATTTTCACTACAGAAATCGTCATTTCAATGGGATTCTACGCATTTGGGAAGTTCGCGTGAGGGTGAAATGTTTACCCATGCAGATTTAGAAAATTTTCAAGTGGGTTATGTGGATTTGGCTTGTTGACCAACAGAAAGCTGCTTTGTTTAAAAGTGACTTTCAAACCATTGATTAATACAATAGACAACGTACCTTTTTTTTTGTCCTTAAAAATTTGCCGAAATTTCGCTAATGTGACCGCACCTTTAGTCTCTTGAATAACTGTTTCTTAGACACACTGAAAGTGTTGTAGACAAGTCCGACTCCTCACCAGATGCATCAAACCTCAGGTAGTTTTGCAACTAACGTTTTGTGTATCATTCAGGTATGTCATAGGAACTCTAGAACTGCTTGTAGCTGAGAACTATATGATTGTATACCTGAACGGAGCCACCTCGCGCCGAAAGATGCCCAGTGTGGGCTGGCTCAGGAAGTGCTATCAGCAAATAGATCGAAGGTGAGAACTGAAGCTCTTTGACAGTATTTACTAACAGACTTTAATTTCATTTGAGTCATTTAAAGGGATAGTTCACCCAAAAATGAACTTTCTGTCTTTATCCTCACTCTCATTTTGTTTCAAACATGGATCACCCAGAAAGATGTTTAAACCTGTTCAGCTGTAAAATAATGTCAATAATGTGTAAAAACATTTCAATAATAATGATTTTTTGAATAATATAAAAATATTATGTTAAGAACAGCATTTATTTGAAATAGAATCTTTTGTAACATTATAAATGTCTTTACTGTAACTTTTGATCAATTTAATTCATCCTTGATGAATAAAGGGATTGGTTTATTTTATTTCTTCCCCCCCAAAAAAAAAAAAAAATTCTTACTGACACCAAATGTTGCAAAAGCTTTCTATTTCAGATAAATGCTGTTCTTTTGAACTTTCTATACATCAAAGAATCCTGAAATAAAAATGTGTGTAACTGTTTTCAACATTGATAATAATGAGAAATGTTTCTTGAGCATCAAATCATCATATTAGAATGATTTCTGAAGAATGTAATGTAATGCAATTTAAGAAGTAATGATGCTGAAAGTTTGCTTTGATCACAGGAATAAATGACACTTTACTATATATTAACTTAGAAATTTGTAAATATTCTGAATTAAACAAAAATTGTAATAATATTTCACAATATTACTGTTTATTTTTTTTTTATCAAATAAATGCAGCCTTGGTGAGCAGAAGAAACTTTTAAAAACATTAAAAATCGTACCGTTCCAAAACTTTCGACTAGTAGTGTGTGTGTGTGTGTGTGTGTGTATATATATATATATATATATATATATATATATACAGTGCTGGTCAGAATTATCTGCCCACTTGGTAAATATGATCAAAAATGGCTGTAAAAAGTAAATCTGCAATGTTAATCCTTTTGATATTTTATTAAAAAAAATTGCAAAAATCTAGTAGTAAAATAATTGAAAGTGGGGGGGAAATCACATTATGAAATAAATGTTTTTTCTCCAAAATGCGTTGGGAAGAATTATTTGACCCCTTTTATTAAATACTTTGTGCAACCTCCTTTTTCCAATATAACAGCTCTGAGTCTTCATAATGTGATCCCCCCCCCCACCCCACTTTCAATTATTTTACTTCAATGAAAGGTTAGATTTTAGCAAATTTTTAAAATAAAATATCAAAAGGATTAACAATGCAGATTTATGTTTTATAGCCCTCTTTGATCACATTTACCAAGGGAGCAAAATAACTCCAGCACTGTATATGTATGTATTCATATATATATATGTGAACATTTTCTCAAACTTTTAATAATATACAATCTCTGAACCCTGAAAACAAAATAAAAATGTTATGTTCACACAACATTGTTCTGTTAAAGGTTAAGGAAGAATTTGAAGTCTTTGATAATCGTGCACCCGTCCTGGTTTATTCGCACCCTCTTGGCCCTCACGAAACCTTTTATAAGGTCAGTCCTTTTCTAGTTATCTTCAGATATGTTTGGATATGAATTAATTTTCTGCAATGACCTGATATCTCAACGCTGCTTTATTCAATGCAAAACTTCCAATTACAGCTCAAAATTTAGCCAGAAAATCAAGTATGTGTTCAGCCTGACAGACCTGGCTGAGCTTGTCCCGATGGAGTATGTTTCCATCCCAGACTGTATTAAAGAGTAAGTATCCCTCTAGTATGCTCCTCCTGCCTGTTAAGAGCACTACTTCCTGTTTTTTTATAGGAAAAATCTGTTTTGTACAGTACATGCATTTCACTGAACAATGCTAAATACCTAAATTACCTTCCATACTGTTTTCTTCTCTCAGCAGTATTCCGGCTTTGTAATTATTTTATTGAAAGTCTGATCTGCTGCTAAGTACTAGCTGCTGTTGGCTGTGGTATCTTCAGAAACTGTCTATGCCCTAACCCCTTCTCCCTGCCTTTCCTCTAAGGTTTGACGAAGAAAAAAATAGGAAAAAACGTAAAAGGTATCTTTATTTTCATTCCAGAGATCCCTGCCAGATCTCTGTAGACTTCATCTGAATTTGCACGAAACTAACAATTAAGCGTTTGGCTTTATTAAGTGTCCACCTATACTTGGTCATTGGCCCAAAATTTGCTTTTTGAGCTTCTTTTCATCCTTGATTGTCATTCATTTTTATTCTGTGTGCCATCTAACTATAATTATGTTGATTGTAATGCAGCTGTTTTGCACTTTTTGATTTTACATTGAGCACGATTTGTCACATTTCCTAAGCAAAAGGTTTTGACTTGCTCTGAAATTACAGCATTGACCTTTCATTATAAAATCCAGTGAGGCAAGCTATATTTCCTGTAGTTTTTGTCCTATCGTTGTTACAGTTTCAGATCCCTTGCGGTTATCAACATAAAAAAAAAACCACACAACTAAGGCAGTTGATATCTTTATAAGGTTTATTTATTAGAATAATTTTTTTCTTTAGTTCATTTTGGTAGACTCATTTAGTTTTATACTAAAAACAACTTATTTTTGTATGCATATACTATACACTCACCGGCCACTTTATTAGGTACACCTATTCAACTGCTTGTCAACACTGAGTTGTTGCCATGTGATTGGCTAATTAGATATCTATGTATTTAGGCATGTAGACAAGACGATCTGCTGAAGATCAAACTGAGCATCAGAATGAGGAAGAAAGATGATTTGCGTAACTTTAAATGTGGTTGAACTGGTTGGTGCCAGACGGGCTGGTGCCAGACGGGCTGGTCTGAGTATTTCAGAAACTGCTAATCTACTGGGATTTTCACACACAGCCATCTCTAGGGTTTACAGAGATTGGTCTGAGAAAATATCCAGTGAGCGTCAGTTCTGTGGGTGAAAATGCCTTGTTGATGTCAGAGGAGAATAGCTAGACTGGTTCAGCTAATAGAAAGACAACAGTAACTCAAATAACCACTGGTTATAACCGGGGTCTGCAGAAGAGCATCTCTGAACTCACAACATGTCGAACCTTGAAGCAGAACACACCGGTGACAGTCCTGTCAGATAAGAATAGGAAACTGAGGCTACAATTTGCATGGGCTCACCAAAACTGGACAATAGAAGTTTGGGAAAACGTGCCTGGTCTGATGAGTCTCGATTTCTGCTGCGACATTCGGATAGTAGGATCATAATTTGGCGTAAACAACATGAAAGCATGGATCCATCCTGCCTGGTATCAACGGCTCAGGCTGCTGGTGGTGTAATGGTGTGTTGGATATTTTCTTGGCACACTTTGTGCCCTTTAGTACCAACTGAGCATCATTTAAACACCACAGTCTACCTGAGTATTGTTGCTGACCATGTCCATCCCTTTATGACCACAGTGTTTCATCTTCTGATGGATACTTCCAGCAGGATAACACGTCATGTCACAAAGCTCAAATCATCTAAAAATGGTTTGACAATAAGTTAATTATACTGAAACTGCCTCCACAGTCCCCAGATCTCGATCCAAAAGAGCACTTTAGGGATGTGGAGGAACAGGAGATTCGGATCATGGATGTGCAGCCGGCAAATCTGCAGCAACTACATGATGATTTCATGTCAATATGGACCAAAACCTCAGATTTTTTCAAATGGGGTTCAACCCAGAACTAGCAAGGTGTACCTAATAAAGTGGCCATATATAAATAACACTAATAATAAAGTGGGGTGGGGGACCGAAGTGTTGTGTAGATGGAACATTAGACGCTAGTGATATTCCAAATCTGAGTCATCCAATTACTGTTATTAATTCCATTCAGGTCTTTGGCCAAATGCACTAACTTGCTTGTGTTTGCAATGAACGTCTCACAGATTTCGATTCTGACGTTCTGTCCTCTCAGTTCTGCCACTGTTAGTATGGTATGTGTGACCATACTAGTAAATCATAGTTTATGGTGAAGGATTTGAACAGTTAAATCACGGGTGGTTTACATGCATGCCTGGCTGATGGACATTCTCACTGCTCACTGCATGTCCCACTGTACACGTCGCAGAATGCATTGTGTAAAACTCAAAGTAGGGACAAGACGGAGAGTTAAGAGTCGGAGTACACATACATTGTTTTCCATAGGCAACACCTTGAAAACCACCCACACCAAGTAAATTACAAGCTTCATAAATTTCATAATTTTTTTTTTTAGCCAGTTTGTACAATGAATGAACAGTGCAGAATCAACTGACTTAAGTTGCACATGAATTGATTTAAATGCTTGTTTTTGCTTGTATAACAATGTTTTTAACTTCAATCGAAAAGTTGTCTTTGTGATCAAACTAAACCTTTGATTGTAAAGTCATGAGACCATCTTTTTGTTGTCTCTATTGAATTATGTGGTACTTCTATTGAAGTGTTGGTATGGTTTTTCCCCTTATACTGTTATCATCACTTGTTTTCCTTCTTTTTCTTTTTAGTATTGACAAGGACATGCATGGAAAAGTGGAGATAGCAACTGCTGCAGTGACCGAGTGAGTTAGAAGAAGAGTTGAAGAAGCTGGATGAATAAAAGAATATATTGGCTTTCTTTTAACTGGAGAACGCAAGATCTTGATGTCAGAAAAGTGCCTTTTAAAGGAATATTTCAACCCAAAATTCAAATTGTTCTCATTTACTCACCCTCATGGCATTCCAAACCCACATTACAGTTCCCCCCCTCTGGAACACAAAAGTAGATATTTAGCAGAATGTCCAAACTGCTCTTTTCGATAGCCGGGGTCCCCGTTCACTTTCATTGAATGGAATAGAGCAACTTGTACATTCTGCTAAATATCTCCTTTTGTATTCCACACAAGAGTCATATGGGTTTGGAACGACATGAGGGTGAATAAATTATGTCCGATTGTTTTTAATTTTTGAGTGAACTATCCCTTTAAAGCTTTGACTGCCTGTTACTTTGTGATCTTTTTTCTCTCTGTTGCATTTGTGTGCCAAACACCTGTAAGATGATATCTGGTTTCTGTGTGTTAAACATTTTAGTAACCTTTTATGTATCATTTCAATAAGTAGATACTGTCAACATGTTCTAGTTCCTATATCTTGCCCTTAGTTAAGGCACTCTGTTTTCGAACTAGTCGATGCATGTCTTCATTACATTTAAATGTCTATATTTATATCAAAAGGTGATAAAGGAGAAAGATTAATATATTTTTATGACTGAAATGTTTTTTTAGGGCCACAATCTGGCATTGTTTGTCATCTGGTCACTGAACATCTCATAGTTATACCACATATTGTTTACTGCTTTGTCTTGTTTGATTTGAGGATGTGGAGAAATGTGGAAAAGGGACAGTATGGAATCAATCAAAAATGTATTGAACCAGTAACATTTTTCCAATTCACCTTCATTAATGGTTTGGGAGGGTGGGGTTCTTGTATGTTACGTTTTTTTGCAAGTAAACTTCCACACAAAAATCACATTGTCATCGTGAATATACAACACTGCAATAGTTATTCAATATTGTGTTAGCATTTCCTTTACAGAGAACAGCACATGATGAAATGGGTTTTTTTTTTACTGTACTGCTATTATGAGCTCCTTTAGAACAAAAAATGAAATCCTTCATATTCCACAGTACTGACTTTATAATGTCAAAGATTCAACCCAGAGATGTTTACATTTTTTACTACCACCACTACACTACTTTACACTACTACCACTAATGTATTAAATATTATATAAAATTGTCTAAATTTGTGTCATTCTATCCATAAAAGCATGTATATATATATATGTTTACTTTTTTTTTTTTTTACAAATTTTTTAGATCTGTAAATGGTGTTTTATATATATATATAAAACACACCAATTATAGATTTAAAAAGTTGTAAAAAAAATGTAAATAATATATGTATACATGCTTTTATGGATAGAATGACAAAAAAAATTGACAATTTTATATATTCTAAAAAATATAATATTAGTGGTAGTAGTATAGATCAATTTGTATCCTGTCAACTTAAAAAGATTTTAAAAACTAAATAATAAACGTTCTTGATATTTTCTTTCATCATTTCTATCCAATTAAATAAATAATAAATCATACTGACAATATTTTGAAAAATGGATGGACAGTTTTTGAACATCACTACTGCCATCATAAAATTATGTCAGATTTTGCAACTGTTAGTAATGATCGACCATAAATAGCTTTGTACCTTAAAAAAGCCTCCATACATTTTATCGCTACATCATCTACTTCTGGATCAAACTTGTTTGCCAAAAGATGGTGTTGCTTCACAATCCATTTCAAGTCCCCAGCTCCATAAATACACACCCCCCGTCTGTGCGTCCCAGTGCATGGTGGGTAGGGAGCCCCACTCTTTAGATCTCCTTCAAGGGAGCTCCATTTCACTAGACGAGCAATTGCGTTCATGTCCGATTGCTCGTACTTTCTGTTTGGAGGGTTTGATCCTGGTACTGAAGGCATCCGCTGTAACGTAGCCCACATGTGCTCATCTGGACTGTATGTGTCTTTCTCCCATTCCATGAAATCTTGAGTCTCTTTGCTTTTAAAGATGTGATCCACAAACTCTCTTGAAACCACAATATAAGCATTTCCCGAGAACATAGGGCTCTGAATTGGCGGGGGTGACTTTCTAACATCGGTCCGAATCACACCGTTCGTAACATTGTGATGAAACTCCCAGCGCACCTTTTTAGACTCTACAGCCTCGGACTCCAAACTGTTCATTCCGTTCAGTTGTTTTAGAGTCTGAACCATTTCAGCATTGGTTTTAATGGGGAAATCAGTGCCACAGGTGTTGAGCAGATACCTCCACTGGACGGGTGACTTGAGCAGATCCTGCATGCAGTTGATGTCCGCTTGAACTCGAGACCAGGAGGCGTAGATCACATTCTCCAGTTTGCTGGCCAAAAACACGTTGGTCAGACAGGACGCAATGGCCCTAACTGCTTCTTTAAAGATCTCAGGAGACCTCTGGTCCACATGAACACAGTACACATTGTCAGGAGTGTAAATGGCTCTTAAGAGCCTTTCAAACATCTCAATCTTCTCATGGATCACCATGGAGTAAGCAATGGGGAAATCTCTCTCCTCTTTACTGAGAGAAAGCGTCAGAAACCCTCTCTCTCGGATGTAGGATGGACAATCCTTGGTTGCGTTGAGATAGAATGACTCTGATAGCAGGGATGTTCTTTTTTTTGAGGTCATGAGATTCCTGAAAATGCCCTTGTCCACTCCGTCCATGTCTCCTTGGATAATAGCAGAACAAGCCTGTAGTTCTCCAGCATCCTGCTTTAGTAAGTGATTCAAGACCGGCTCTTCTTTATGAGAACAATTTGTCCATTGTTCTGGATGGTTTATAAAGATGACGAACAAGGTTGTACTCACAGAAAGAATGGAGATCATTTTCAAAATCCTCTGATTGTTAAATGCCATGGTCATTTCTTTAAGATTATAACCTGCCAGGAGAGGAGACCTGTGTCAGTGAGGTATAAAACAACCCCTCTTTTTAAAATACCAGAAAGGTGTAGCAGGAAGCAAAAGCCAGCAAATCATTTACAAAGGGGAAGGTCTAGCCTCTGCAAAAAAGGTATAGAAATTGTTACATAGCAGAGGTGTGACTAGAAGGTGTGATCGTCTGATCTTACAGTCAGTAAGAGCATTGTCAAAAAGTAAACTTTGCACACCAAGATATTTTGAAAACAAAATACAATTTTGAAACATTAAGGAATATTTAAAGTAACAAGTGTCATGTGTCTGATTTTAAACTAAGGGTGGCATCTTTGAGGAAGCTGATTATCTTATCTTTTGGTTACCAGATCTGTCGCTTTTCTGACAAGTATGTGTTAACTTTGTGTTTGTAAAGCATTTTGCCTCTCCTAGCTCATCTAGTAATCTGTTTGCAGTTATAAGCATCTCTGCACCCATTTTTTTATATATATATATATATAGTTCTACAGAGGCATTATAATCTTGGTGCCACACTTGAGTTAATTATTTGGTGTTGTTCTCTATACTACTTTTACTGTACAAAGATGCTGTCCACTTTTGTCAGTCTAAAACTAATGAATATTTTGGGCAGGTTAAATTAAATGGTAAATGGTAAATGGACTGCATTTATATAGCGCTTTCACAGACCCAATGGCCACCAAAGCGCTTTACAATTTGCCTCACATTCACCCATTCACTCACTCATTCATACACCGACGGGCGACGGCAGCCATGAAAGAGCATGATGCTCACAGAAAGAGATTAATGGATTATGTTTGAACTTGTTAAACATAATGAGTTGTCAGTGTTGTTGTCACATTCCAGTGGCTGAAGGAATGTTGCTGAACATGCAAAACGGCCTTATGAGACACATTTCGATGCAGAGGTGTGTAACGGTACATTTATTTCGTTACATTTACTTGAGTATTTTTTTTATTTTTTTTGGAGAAATTGTACTTTTAAGAGTAGATTTAAATGTGGGTACTTTAACTCGAGTAGCCTACATTTCTAATGAAAAAACTGTAGGTCTGCTTCGTTACATTGGGCGACGTTCCTCTCGTTACTTTGTTTCAATGCAATAAACGTTAGGCTACAAGTTGTTAAATGCGTAGTTTATTGAGCGATATGAGCGATTCTCAATTCACAAATGAATCACTCTTTTGAGTCGATTCTGTTCAAAGACTTCATCAAACAAGTTGGCAGATCTGTCTAAATCGGTTCGCGAATCAGTTTAAATGATCTGTTCAGTTTCCTGCACGCACTGAATCGTCTGAAGCGCTTTCAATTCACACTCGACTCGGAGTCGTAACAGGAAGATTTAAGAACACCAAGAGAGTTGGATGAAGTGGCCGTGGACCTACAATACAGTCAAGTGAAAGCAAATCTGCATGCATCATATTTTTGCCAGCGATGAAGATCTTTATTAGTTGAAACATCTTCGTATGCTGCAAGGGGGTAATCCATCAGCCGGAAGTTGAAGCTGCCTCCGGGGGCCGCCATTGTAGCTAGCTATCACCTGCTGTTAGCATCCCATTGACTCCCATTCATTTTGGCGTCACTTTGACAGCGAATAACTTTACATCTGAGGCGTCCAAAGACTTCATTTGTCCATTATTTATTTCTTAAGAAACACAACAATGTATAAAATGCTCCATTACCTTGTATCTTACGTTATGGCCCCGTAGAAGCCATTCTTGTAAAAATAGGCTAACGATTGCGTCATAACCACGGGACGCTCTGTCGCACAGTAGAGAAATTACCGTATAGACAGAAGTAGAAGCTCGTAGGCAATCGTTTACTGTCTATGAGGCAATCGGGTGGACATGGAGGCATAAAGTCAAGGGAGAAGCCCATAGATAGAGAGTTCATAAAAGCAACGGGACAAAATATTTCTTCCCGGCACAGCTACTAGAAGGTCAGAACGGTTGCTCACGTGACAACTACGTCGTCAAGCTCAGTTTGAGCCTGCGCAGTGCGCTTGGCTATCAGGAAGTGAGTGCCCATGTTGGGCTTCAACTCTCTCCGTTGAAATCAACGGGGTCGCTG